TACAAATGCAGTTAGAATGATGTACCGAGCCCGGTGCATGCAAGACGAATGTATGGATGCACGCATGCATAGCATAAGGTATGCTAAATTAAACATGACCTATTACTAACCATCAAAGTAGGTAAGTAAAAGGGAAGAAAGAAATGGGGGTTGGAAGGCATTCACACACTCACCCACACTTATTACAAATTCGCCCTCGCTCGGAGGGACCAAAAGAATAATACAAATTAATTACTATCCAAGCTAATTAATTATTACAGACCAATTAATTAATTAACAAATTAACTAATCTAATGAAAGCAGTAAACGGCCTCGGGAAGAGGGCTCAATGCAATACGTGCTCGGGTCTTGCTCGGAAGTGCACCGCCATGCATAGGCTGCCTCTGTTTTCCTTGCTGTACTCCTCTGGAGGCTGCTAGAACCTCAGGATTGCTTCTCTGGATGCTAGGGAATGCCATCGGCTGAGCAGAATGCCCACCGGCAGTGGTCTGTGATCACCGGCCATTGGTGAAGCTATCGGCAGAGGGAGGATTGCCGGTCGGCACTTGACACTGCCGGTCGGCAGAAAGCTCCTGCAGAATCTGCAATTGACAGCAACAGAGGGCAAGGCAGAGCATGGCAATACAATTCAAGGCATATATCCACCAATCATGTCCCTTATCATGTTAGTGACTCAAAGGGACATGCCCCTTGGTTCTCGGACCATCAATCGCGCATTTCAATGCGTGATGGCCCAAGAGACCAAGTTATGCATTTCCATGTCAAATGCAATGCAAACAATCAAACCAATGGGGACTTAACCTCTATCATGGATAGTCAAGAGGCCAAGCATGCATGTCAATGCAATGCAACCTAAGCATGTTAACTAGGCATGCAATACGACAATGCAAATGAGCATGTAAGAAATGCAAGGCATACAGCAATGCGACTAACAAGTGTGCAAGGCTAATGTAGGCATTCAAGCATGTAAGCCAACATGTGATTTCATTCAATCATGTGATTTCAAACATGCAACAACTCACCAATATGCTACAATATACAAGGAGAGCATGCAACAAACAAAGAGATGGACTTAAACATGATTTGGGCAGCTCTAATTACAAAACAGTGGCCATAGTGCTATGAAATAAGGGCTAAATGACATGCAAACATGCATGCAAATATGGTCCAATTCCTAAGGCCCACCAAAGAAGTATTGAACTACACTTAGTGCAACCACACATGGCATGAATTAAATGACTTAAAACAAAATTTTAGCATATTAAAACAAGGCCTAAAGATCACTTAGATGGCATCCAAATGACCTAAATTCAAAGGCATGCACAAATGCCAAAACATGGAGCATGCTACACAAACTTTCAAGGCATTAAAGAGGTGTCCAAGGCAAGCATACAAGCATGTCAAAGGGACTGAAATGATGCTACAAATGGTGCCAAACCAATAAAACAAAGCAAATAAAGCATGCTACATACTCACACACTTAAGGCCAACAAGCCAAAATGAAAAGGGGCTATACTAAACATGGAAAATGTGAATCTAAAGACCCAAGACAGACCTTAAGCATGTTAAAACATGACCAAAAACTTCACAAAGCTAAGCCAAAGTATGCAAGCATGGTGGTCCAAAGGCAAGATGCATTTCTAGGCAAAATAGAGGAATACAAAGCAAGTGTATGATGCACATGGAATCTCACCAAACCATCAAAAATTAGTGAATAAAACATGTGAAAATAGGCCCAAATAACCACTGATACGCAACCATGGCATGCAAAAATGATGAGTTACTTTAGAGGGCCATGCAAGGAGTTATTAAGCACATGCAAGATAGACATTCAATATGACCAAAACAACTCTGGAAATAGCTTATGGGGGTCCTAAAACCCACTGAAAAATGCCTGAACCGAGCTCAAGAAGTGTGCAAATATAGGCCCCTTTGTAAGGCCAAAAAGGGCATCAAACAAAACAACAAGGAGAGGGGATGGCCCTCTCCTTCTTAGGACCTTAAACCACCATCCTCACCACTGAAATCCCTCAAGATTTCAGTGGTGAGGAGGCCCAAACAAGGTGGTCCCGAAACTCACCAAAAATAGCACAAAATGGGGCCAAACAAGGCCTAAGAGGGGGTAAATGACCCCAAACACACAAGTGACCTTAATGAAGTATCTTAAACACAAAAAAAAAAGAACTTTTTTATGTTATACACAAAGCTCAAATCAGCAAGAAAGATAGGATAAAAGGGTGTGCAAAAACGGGGAATAAACAGGGAAAATGGGTTACCTTTGTAGCCAAAAGGGGACAGCAGCCTCTAGACCCAAAAATGAAACCCTCAACCTCTGAAAACAAGACCCAAGGACCTCCAAGTGATGATGGAAGTGTTGCGCTAGGAGGTGTAGTTCAAATGGCCAAGAACTAGACCCTTTTGGACCCTCTAACCCACCCAAATGTAGAGAGAGAGGGAGATATAGAGAGGGAGTGATATATATGTGATATATATCAGATTTTTCTAACCCCAATAAGGGGAGGAGAGGCTCTCTTTTTATAGAGAAACCAAGGGGGCAAAGCTTCTCTTAGAAGCTTTGAGCAAAAAGGCCAAGCTTCTCTTAGAAGCTTAGAGCAAAAGGGCCAAGCTTCTTGGAGAAGCTAGGCAAAGGGGTCAAGAGGTTCAAGCTTCTTGGAGAAGCTAAAAAAGGGTCAAGCTTCTTGGAGAAGCTAAAAAGGGTCAAAAGGTTCAAGCTTCTTGGAGAAGCTGAAAAAGGGCCAAGCTTGTTGGAGAAGCTAAAAAGGTTCAAGCTTCCACAAGAAGCTAAAAAAAGGTTCAAAAGGGTCAAGCTTCTTGGAGAAGCTAAAAAGGTTCAAGCTTCCTCAAGAAGCTAAAAAAAAGGTTCAAAAGGGGCAAGCTTCTTGGAGAAGCTAAAAAAAGGGTCAAGCTTCTTGGAGAAGCTAAAAAGGTTTAAGCTTTCTCAAGAAGCTAAAAAAGGGCTCAAAAGGGTCAAGCTCCCTCAAGAAAAGGTCTCGGCCAGGAAAAGTGGCCGATTGATCAGAAACAGTGGCCGGCCGACCAAACACAATGCCGACCGACCATCAATAGTGCCGACCGGCCATCACCAATGGCCGGTGGCAAGGAAACAAGGCCGGTGGCCTCAAGCAATGGCCGGTGAGGTGTGGGGATGGCCTACAAGCTATTTTCCACCCTCAGAAGCAAAACAATAAGTGTTTGGTGCAAAACCAGACACAAAACAGTCGAGTCGAGAGACCCTGAGGCAGGGCGCGTAGCCGAGACCTCCGGGAACTCAAGATGAACACAAACAGGGATAATCATCGAGTGTTCAAACGATGACGTCCAAGTCTTAAGGACGGTCAAAAATGGGGTGTCTACAGGGGCCAGTAGTAGGACGAATAACCTACAAAAAAATAACCCACGAGACAATTCTCATACAAGGCAAAGGACCATTAGCCACCTATCTGAAACCTTTCATTGTCGTCGCGATGAGCGACCACACGATTTGAGAAGTTGGCTGAATGATAACAGAGAAAAGGCACGACGGCTATGCAGGAAAAGAGAACGTCGACGGACCGCCGGCTCAGCAGGGAAAGGGACCAGTTAGACTGGTCCATACACCAACAAGAGCATCGTGCTCTAGACCGGTTGGTGTCCACCCCCTTCTCCCCAGAGGTAGAAGCTGTAGAACCTCTATGGAAGTATAGCCTGCCAAAATTCATTCTCTATGATGGGAAGACGGACCCTCTGACCCACATCAGCCATTACCGCCAGATGATGTCCCTCTGGAATCGCAACGACGCACTCATGTGCAAAGTCTTCCCTTCTAGCCTTGGAGAACTTGGCCTCCGATGGTTTGACAAACTCCCAAATGGCTCAATTTATGACTGAACGCAGCTCTCTGAGGCTTTCTTAGCCCGATTTGTCTCTAACAACAGAGTCCCAAAGCAGTTAGATACCTTGTTCAACATCCGAAAGGACAGGAAAGAGACCTTGCGCCAGTTTGCACGACGGTATTGGGAGGAGTATGGTGACTTGGAGGAAAATGTTTGTAGTGAACAATTGGCCGTGCTATACTTCAAGCAAGGCCTACTCCATTCGCACAAGCTAAGGCAGTCGTTGACGAAACGACCTGCCCCCACAATGAAAGATTTGAGGGCTCGAATAGAGCAACAAGCTCGTGTGGAAGATGACGCTGCTTCAGTACATGTTGCGGTTGCTAAAGAAGAAGTCAGACCGCCTTGACTGCCTAAGACTGAGCAGCCAAGGAAGGATGAGCAGCGCAAGAACTATGGCCAAAGGAACCGCTCCACAGCAAAAAACAAGGAGGAAAGGGCCAAGTCTTATGAAGGCATCACCACCGTCTTCAAAGAGCCAATATATAGGCTCGTCGAGAAACTTAAAGGGGAAGCCTTCTTTGTCTGGCCAGCTAAGATGCCTGGAGACCCTGCTCGGCGCAATCAGACACTGTGTTGCACCTATCATCAAGAGAAGGGACACAAGACGCAAAATTGCAGAGCTCTCAAACAACACTTGGAGGACTTAGTTACGGCGGGACACCTCCAACAATGGATAGACGTTGATAAGACGAGGGAAAAGCAAGGACTCAACCAAGCCCCTCATGAGGAGAACCATGCCCTAAGGTTGATCATCAACATTATCCATGGAATGACTGACCCCGAAAGAGAAAACACCATTCGAGGAGAAATCCAACGAGCCACCCACATTCAACAGGTAATGTCGGTAGGAGCTCCTCCCAAAAAGTCCAAGACAGAAGCTAGACCTTCTCGGTTTAACGTCGTGTTCACAAAGAAGGACCTAGAGAGAATCCAGCACCCCCACACCGATGCCCTCATTGTTACAGTTGGTGTGCCCAACAAGTTCGATGTGAAGCGAGTCTTGATTGACCAAGGAAGTGCCGCAGACATCATGTATTATGAGCTTTTCAAGAAACTTGGCCTCAGTGAGCAACACCTGACACCTGCCACCTCCCCTTTAGTTGGCTTTAACTTGCAAACAAAATGGCCGCTCGGCCGAATAACTCTACCTGTCATAACTAAGTCCAAGGTGGTCTCTGTTGACTTCTTGGTGGTAAACACCCCATCTCCCTACAATGCCATCCTTGGCCGACCTTGGATCCACCAGATAGAGGCAGTCCCTTCCACCTATCACCAACTCGTTCGCTTTCCAACCAAGTATGGAGCAGAGGAGATTCGCGGAGACCAAGTGGCAGCTAAACACTGCTTCATTGCCGCCATGAAAACCAAACAAGTCTGTGACCAAGTGCAGATAGTGAAAGTACCTGACCAGCCAGTTTTGGAAGACGTCGGCGGAGTGCCGACTGAGAAGATGGTAGAAGACCTAGAGACGGTCTTGGTAGAAGAAAGAAACCCAAACAAGTTCTTCCTGCTCGGAACTTCCCTCACTGTTGGAGAGAAAGAGCAATTACTGGCTCTACTCCGTAAAAACATCGAAGTGTTTGCCTGGTCAACCTGTGACACTCCGGGGTTGGACCCCAATTATGCTTGTCATCGACTTAACGTCCAATTAGGAGCGCGACCAGTTGTTCAGAAGAGTAGGCGGTCATCCGCACAACACACCGATGCAGTGATCGAAGAGGTGGATAAACTTTTAGCTGCTGGAGTCATCTGAGAAGTGCAATACCCGAAGTGGTTATCCAACACCGTCGTAGTGAAGAAGAAGAATGGAAAATGGAGAGTCTGCGTTGAATTCACTAGCCTTAACAAAGCTTGTCCCAAGGATAGCTTCGCCCTTCCATGAATAGATCAACTTGTTGACGCAATGGCTGGACATGAGCGCATGAGCTTTCTAGACGCCTACAGTGGCTACCACCAGATCCCCATGTTCGGTCCTAACCAGGAGAAAACGGCTTTCATCAGCCCTAGAGGCACTTACTGCTACAAAGTAATGCCCTTCGGCTTGAAGAATGCTGGTGCAACCTACCAGCGAATGGTCACTAAAATGTTCAAGGACCAGCTCAGTAAAACCATGGAAGCATACATTGATGACATGGTCATCAAAAGAAAGTTAGCCGAGCACCATCTGAGGGACCTTGAGCAAGTGTTTGCAATTCTGAAAACTCACAAGCTTCAACTGAACGCCTCAAAATGTGCCTTTGGGGTAGGATCAGGGAAGTTCTTAGGGTATATGGTGACTAGGCGGGGCATTGAAGCCAACCCCGACCAAATCAAAGCCCTTCAAGACCTCGAAGCGCCTACAAAGGCTAAGGAACTCTAGAAACTCGTTGGCATGGCTGCAGCACTCAACCGTTTCATCAGTCGGTCCTCTGATCGGATGAAGCCCTTCTTCCAACTTCTAAGGAAGAAAACCAGTTTTGAATGGGGAAGCTAGTGCTCCGAAGCCCTAGAAGATTTGAAGAAGTATTTGTCCTCTCCTCCCCTTCCATCTACACTTGTCGCCAACGAAGAGCTTTTCCTTTACTTGGCTGTTTCTGATCATGCTGTTAGTGCAGTGCTAGTCAAAGAGGATGGAAATGAGAAAAAACCAATGTATTATGTTTGCAAGACACTCTTAGATGCCAAAACTAGATACTTGCCATTGGAGAAATTGGCATATGCACTATTAATTGCCTTTAGGAAGCTTGTTCACTACTTTCAAGGACATACCATCAACGTCCTCACTGAATTCCCCCTCAAGTCGATGTTCAGTCGAGCAGATTTCTCAGGCCGAACAGCAAAGTGGGCGGTGGAGCTTGGAGAGTTTGATATCAAGTTCCAACCTCGAACAGAAATCAAAGCTCAAGTCCTGGCAGACTTTGTTACAGAATTCACCCCGGGACCAGCTATTCCCTCCGAAGGGAGCTCGGCTTTGGTCACCATGACTGCCCAGCATAAAGGGCAATCCCCGGCCGAAGCATGGAAACTTTTTGTTGGAGACGTATGGAAGCTGTTTGTGGACGATTCTTCTAACCAAAAAGGCTCAGGGGCAGGAGTTGTCCTTATTTCTCCTGAAGGATTCATGTGGGAGCAAGTCATTCGATTGGGCTGGAAAGCTTCTAACAATGAGGCAGAGTATGAAGCTCCACTAGCCGGCCTGCGAAGTGCCGAGCACTTCAATGCAGAGGAGCTACTCGTCTTTAGTGATTCCCAATTAGTGGTCAACCAACTCTCTGGAGTTTACAAGGCTCGTGATGAGCGGATGGCCACTTATGCAGAACAGGCCAAAAATTTAATCAAAAAGTTCCAAGCCATCGGGGTCGAGAAGATTGGCCGAGAGGGAAATGGTCATGCTGACGCTTTAGCTTGCCTGGGTTCCTCGATCGACTCCAGGGGCGGCCGCAAAATATGGGTGGAATATGTACCCCAACCAAGTATTCAACTAGTCGAAATGGTACTCTGCACTGACTTGGGCCCAAGTTGGATGGACCCACTCTTGGCCTTTTTGAAGAATGGCACCCTTCCTGAGGACAAAAAAGAAGCGCACAAGACAAGGCATAGAGCTGCTCGGTTTTGGGTCTCCCCATCTGGCAATCTTTACAAGAAGTCCTACATGGGCCCTTATCTACTCTGTGTTCATCCAAGTCCGGTGGAAGATGTGCTTTATGAGATCCATGATGGAATCTGTGGTAGTCACACTGGTGGTCGGTCCTTGGCACACCGAGCTCTAACACACGGGGATTGGTGGCCGCGCATGCAAAAGGAGACCCAACAGTATGTCCGCAAGTGCGACAAGTGCCAAAAGTTTGCTCCTCTTATTCACCAGCCAGCCAAAGCTCTAACCCCCCTCACCAGTCCTTGGCCATTCGCTCAGTGGGGTTTTAGACATTGTTTGACCATTAGCAAGGGGAACTGGGAATAAAAGATTCTTCATCGCTGCAACTGACTACTTCACTAAGTGGGTGGAGGTGGAGGCCTTGTGCAAGATCAAAGAAGCAGACACTAAGAGGTTTGTTTGGCACAACGTTGTGACTCGATTTGGCATTCCCAAAGTCCTTCTCTCTGACAATGGTCCACAATTTGATGGCAAGATCTTCAGGAGATTTTGCGCTGACTTGAAGATAGAGTTCCGAAACTCCACTCCGGCCTACCCACAAGGCAATGGCCAACCTGAAGCGTCCAATAAGATGATCATTGACAGGATAAAAAAGTGTCTTGAAAAAGGCAAGGGTAAATGGGTGGAAGAGATACCGAATGTCCTCTGGGCTTACTGAACTACTCCTCGTTGGTCAACCGGTGAGACACCTTACTCTCTTACCTATGGGATGGAAGCAGTCATCCCTTTAGAGGTTGGCCTTCTTACCATCCGTTCTGAGATCTTTGAGCCAGCAGACAATGATGAAGCCATCGCCCAAGCTCTGGACTGGCCGAGGAACGTAGGGAAGCTGCCCCTCATTCGATTGGCAGCTTACTAGCAGCAACTCACTAAGAGCTTCAACAAGAATGTGCGTCCACGACAATTCCTACCAGGTGACTTGGTACTCACGAAGGTAATGGATCACAAGAAAGTTCCTAGAGAAGGGAAACTCGGTGCTAACTGGGAGGGGCCCTACAGGGTTACTTCAGCACTTGGCAATGGCGCATACTATCTGGCTGACTTATCAGGGAAGGCAATCCCTAGACCATGGAACGTCACCAACCTAAAGAAGTACTTCCAGTGATGTGATTCTTAAGATGAAGTACTTACAGTAATGTATTTTTCAAAACATGCCTTGATGTAATCAAAAGTTACAAGTATCAATGAATGGAAATTTATTTTACAGTTTGTCCTTATTTACTTGTGTTGTACATTTATGCTCGGTGGAGCAAATTGGCCACGGGTCTTAACTCAAGCCAATCCCGAATGCTCAACCCTTTGATTGGAGTGGGGTGCCAAGTGGTATAACTTGGTGGAATTTGTGCCAAGTATCATTACTTAAAGCACGGTCCATATTCACAATTCGCGCTCGAAGGAGGGCAGAATTACACTCTACGAGGGGTTAAATCACGCCAAAACTTGACCAAGTCAGGTGAAGTCCGAACAACATGATAAAAAAACTTTCACAACTTTTTCTCTACTAAGGCATGAAGCATGGTCTAACCAAACAGACAATCTTCTGAGCCACAGAGCTCATGCTCGGCTGGGGGCATCAAAAACTCAATTTTTTTTTAAGGCAAGAAGCCTGATCAGATCGAACAGATGGCTTGCTAGGCCACAGAGCCTCTGCTCGGCCGGGGGCAAACATTACATACAAGCAAAAATTGAAGATAAGCAATTCAACACTTGCGAAAATGTAAAAACGAGTGCATTGAAGCGAAACTTCAATTACAAAAAGAGTTCGGCCTTACAAAAGAAGAGGTCCAGTCGACCGAACTCCAAGACAAATAAAAAAGTACAAGTTGCAAGTTCAACACTTGGCAAATTTAGAAGGCACTTCATTACAAAAGGGAGCTCGGTTTGTATCATAGCCTGTCCAACCGAGCACTAAAGCAAAAGTTGAAGATACTTCATTAACTTCCAAGTTTCATTACAAAAGAACTACTAAAGCAGAAGTAAAAGCAAAAACTCAGGGCAACCTAACAACTTACTCCTCGCGTTGCTCCTCCTCATAGTGTCCATCCTCGCGGTGCTCTTCCTCTGTAGGATTAACAGTCTGCCTAACTAAGGAAAAGCTTGGCAGGAAAGGAGAAAGGCCAGAAGGATCAACATCCGTAGCTCCATCCCCCCGAGGCCTTCTCATTCTAACCCTTGCAGCGGTCTTTGAAGGGACTGGAATATCGTCAATATCATAAAGAGGAGAACCCTCTTCCACCTTAGCAGCGCGCAGAGCCCCAGTCCAACCCTTAGTAAAGATCTTGTCCCTCAGCTTCAAAATCTTCTCCAAATAGGTCTTTTTGGCCTTGTCATAGCCCCTCTGTTCGGCCTCGTCCACCATCCCTTGATAATTAGCCTTTAAAGACTTCAGAGTAGCATCGGCATCTGTAGCCCTCCGCTCAGCCATGAACATTAGTGCTTCGGCCTTCTTCTTTGCATCTTCCATCTCCCTTAGATCCTCTCCGGCTGCCTTCAAGGACATATCAGCATCAGCCAACATGTTGATTGTCTTAACCTTCTCTTGCTCCTCACGATGCCGCCTTTCATCCATGATGTGCATCCTCTGAATGCACTGCACCAAACCAAAATGTCATATCCTCAACAACCAAATTTAAGTAAATGACAAAGACATAAAAGAAGACTTACTGCGGTTAGCATCTGCACTGAACCCTTGATCAACACGTTGCTTGAAATGTTTTGCTCCGCCATATCCAAAGGTAGCAGCAATGTCTTTGATAAGTCAAAGGCCAAGTCGCTTGAGTAGATTGTGCTATCCGATGTAGTGATTGCTCGGCCGTTATGCTCCAAGGGAGGCACCCATTCTTCAACTGAGCCCTGCTCATGAGAACCCCCAGCAACTTCTTTACCTTTGGACCTCTTCCTCTTTGAGGCCCTATCAGCGGGAAGACAACAAGAGGAGGAGGAACAACAACATGGCTTTTTCCACCCTTAGACCTCTCAATCGGTGGAGAAAAAACTCGTGTGTCAACCGTTGAAACAGCTAGAAGGTCCTCATCATAAGATCCAAAAACTAAGGCATCAAGATTGAGCTTTTGGCGACGAGCCATTTCGCTTGCTAAGTCTGGTGACGAAGAGTGGCCTCTACTGAGTGATCCACTTGACGAACAAACAACAGCGGAAGAGGAAGCTCCAGTGGTATGGCCAACTTGTTCTTCGGTTTCAATCTCAAGTGAGTCCCTCAAGAAGTTGTTTACTCTGGGTTTCCGTTGGATGACATGTCTATAAGTTCGCACATAGTTAAGCAAATGCGAGGCCGACCGATCTTCGTACCTTAGTGCAACTTTGATATCCCTCGGATGCCCTTTCTCTAGTCTCCTTTTTAGCTTCTTTGAACCTGCAAGTACGAACAATAACACTTAAAAAAAAAAATCACAGACGATAAGCGAATGGATAAAAGGAAACTAAAATAAAGAATGACCTGGGTGGCCGTTCACTCGTGGAACCCGCTTCGATCGACCCACCTCCTCGGCTGCAAACTCCCAATTACCTCCGACTTGAAGGAAATCAGAGCAATGCTTGTCATTATCAGGAAGTTCAGTAACGAGTTAGAGGTCCAACGACCGAACTTTGACATAATAGGTTTTACACGGCAATGAAGGATATCCCAAATACCCAAGTCCAAGTCTAAGAGGTCATTCAAGACCGAGACACCGTTTACCACTCTAAATGTGTATTTGCATTAGTGTAAGTTCGAAATAAGAAAAGAATCAACGCAACAAAGGGTTCAATGGAAACCTAACACCCCCTCTACGATGGAGGCAATTGAGAAGGGCATTGTGATGCTCGTACACGACCGATCCGCATCTACTGCCGCCAATGTCAACGTGACATCATTGGGAATGTTATATCTTCGGCGGAACTCATCCATTCCCGTCGGAGTGTCCACTAAGTTCCGAAGCTTACCCATGGGAGGTGCGACGTTCCACCAAACAACTACACTAAGGATGACTTACAAGGTTAGAGGTACAATGGCCGACCGAGCAATCGTATGCTGGACAACTCTTAATGTTACACTTAGCCAAAAAAGTAATGGTGAATGTGGAAAATAAATACATGGATTCTATGACTTACGGTGTCAAAATCAAGAGGAACTCGATGGCGAGCGTCTCCGATGAAACAATCCCACTGTGGCAACCAAGAGAAAAATTGTGAGTTGCAAAAAAATAAATAAATAAATAAATAAATAGATAAATAAATCACAGTGGAGGGCATACAAAACAATGTCAACAACCAAAAATCAATAAGAAAAGCCTATTAAAAGGAGAGAGTTCAAAAACTTAGAAGATCAAAACCAGTGAGCAAGAGGCAAAATAAACAGGTTGTAAGTAACAGAACGGCGAGGATAATTTTTTTGCTGCAAACAACGAATGCCGACGGGTCGCCGAAAGATGAAGATCGAAGAAGAGAACATTGCGTTTGTCCCCGAACTCTGAAAATCTAATTCTCTAGATTGAGAAAGTGAGGAGACCACGTCATTGGTGCAAGCTCTCAATGTTCTCAAGAGAAGTCTGGAATTTATAGAAAGAGGATTGGAAGTCAAGTTATCAGATTATTAGATTTTAAAATTGCGTTAGAGTTCCAAGAAAAAGAAAACGTAAGGACAAAACCAAAGTCAGACTCTTTTTCAAAAAATGGGCTATATTGTTCCTGGAGTCAAAAAGTGAGGCAGCAAGGAAATGGAAAAAATGGGTCTCGAAATTCAAATTTCTAGAGTGAGAAAGTGTTAAATAAGGTGGGTTTGCTTGTCTTCATCAAAAAACTTTGAAAGGGCTTGCCTTCACATCATGTTGACAGCCCCCAAACTAGTCAAATGTAGACGCGTGATGGCTCGACAGTCGGAGTAAGGACATTAGTCAGGGCCGAGCTCGAGGTATGGTGGCAAGGCCAAGATCACGGACAACCGAGCTGCGACCCTCACAGACAGGTCGGCCGAAGCATCTTAGACCAAGCTAAAGGGCACTTGAAATGATGATAAGTGTGAAATTGGCCCAACTCTAAACTCTTCAGGCAAGCCGAGCACGGCATGTGAGTATCCGAAGCTCTATTAAGTGGCTCAACCAAATCAGCAAGCAAACAGATTCTAGAAGTCAAGTTTTCTGGTATAAAGAAGATAAGCAAACCAAGTCATAGATGTGCCGACCAACCGAATGATAACAAAGACAACCAAATAAAAATAAACCGAGCAGAAATGGAGGAAGCCGAAGGACGCAGAATGAGAATTGGAAGACCAAAATAAAAAGACCGAGCTGGATAAGTCTTGCGTAAAATAAATAAGAGTTGTTCGGCCCATCAAGTATCGGAAAAGGGTCAACCGAGCAGCGACGATAACCGACCAACTTGTAACATGCATGAGGTAAGCCAAGCTGGGTGTGAGCAGAACCTATGGACCAAAATGAATGGAAGACGCTGCGTCGGGCCGAACAAGACGCAGTCCGACAGAGCTACAACACACAAGCAAACCAGCCAAAATATTTCAACCGAGCAGCAATCAAAGACACGACCGACCAGCGCATGAAGAAGTGAGCCGAACAGTTGATTTGCTAATTACGTCCATACTCTGCTCGGAGCAATATATACAATTTTTGCACGTTCAGCCCACCAATAAATCTGCTTAGATAA